GATCTATCTATCGAGCCTACTCCACACTTAGGCGCGCGCGCGTGTGTGTGCGTGTGTGTGTGTGTTGGGGGTGTATATCTTGTTATCTTTGGGCCATGATGTATAAAACAACATGAGATTAAAACTCAAGCACAAGAAAAAACAATGCAATCAAGAAGAGAGATATAGGGTGAGAAGCGGCTGCAGCGCCGAAAGGAGGCAGAAGGCAGATAACGAGAAGCCCCTGGGTGGGCACCATGGCCGGGATCACCACCGTCGAGGCTGTGAAGCACAAGATCCAGGTTCTGCAGCAGCAATTGGATGATGCCGAGGAGAGGGCTGAGCACCTCGAGCGGGAAGTTGAGGGAGAAAAGCGGGCCAGGAACAGGCTGAGGCTGAGGTAGCCTCCTTGAACCAAAGGATCCAACTGGTTGAAGAGGAGCTGGACCCTGCTCAGGAGCGCCTTGCTACTGCCCTGCAAAAGCTGGGGGAAGCAGAAAAAGCTGCTGATGAGAGTGAGAGAGATATGAAGGTTATTGAAAACCGGGCCCGAAAAGATGGAACTCCAGGAAATCCAACTCAAAGAAGCTAAGCACATTGCAGAAGCAGCAGATAGGAAGTATCAAGAGGTGGCTCATAAGTTAGTGATTATTGAAGGTGACTTGGAACGCACAGAGGAACGAGCTGAGCTGGCAGAGAGTCCTGTTGCCTAGAGATGGATGAGCAGATCAGACTGGTGGACCAGAACATGAAGTGTCTGAATGCTGCTGAAGAAAAGTACTCTCAAAAAGAAGACAAATATGAGGAAGAAATAAAGATTCTCATTGATAAACTCAAGGAGGCAGAGACCCGCGCTGAGTTTGCCAAGAGATCAGTAGCCAAACTGGAAAAGACAATTGATGATTTGGTAGATAAGCTGAAATGCACCAAAGAGGAGCACCTCTGTACATAAAAGATGCTGGACCAGACTCTGACCTGAATGTAGAGCTCCCCAGTCCCGCCCTGCTGCTGCTCCTCCCTCTGACCCTGACTCCACCTGAGGCCAGCCAGTCCAAAGCTGACCTTGAAACTGAGGGCTGATCTTTAACTGGAAGGCTGCTTTCTCCTTTCAACGCCTCCTCGACCCCCTACCCCCTTGTCTTTTTCACCAAACTGTCTCTGCTTCTTCCCAGAGATTCCAGCTGGGCTAGAGGCTGAGCACCTTTGGGAACAGCATTTAAGGGAATGTGAGCACAACGCAAAGTGTCTTTAAAAGCATATTGTGATGTACACACTTTGTAATTACTTTTTTTGTTGTTATAGTAACCATTTGTAAAACATTCCAAATAATTTCAGAGCTCTGAAGCAGCAATCTAATTCCCTTCTCACTTTTGGAAGGTAACTTTCAAGCCTAATCCCTATTGCCCTCTCCATAGAGGAGGAAAAGAGGAATGGGCCTGCCTTACTGAGAGCCAAACAGAGCCCAGGGAAAGACTCTAATATGGCAAACCTCATTGCTCTGTGCAAAGTACTAGCCAAAACAAAAAGGTGATTCCAAGAGGAGTTAGCCAAAAAACAAAAACCTTGCTATTCAGGTTTTGTTTTATTTTTAGCTTTAAGGTATCTTTAGATAACTGTATTCTTATTTTTTACTTTTTTTCATCAGAAATGACCAAATTAACATGGTGAGACCTCTGAGACTTTTTGTTTTTCTGGTGCTGGGGATTGAACCCAGGGCCTCATGCTTGTTCGGCAAATGCTCTAATACTGAGCCATATTCTCAGCCCTGAGACCAAATTTTTCTCCCATCTCTACCTACTTCCCAGGTGTTCACAGAATGGATCATGGGCCCCTTAATCTTGCGTGACCACTTAATTGCTCTCCTGCTTGCTTGAAAATAAAAAAAGAAAGAAAGAAAGAAAATTATGTTTTGGCCACTGATTTAGCCATATGAACTCATCTTGTCACCCTTTTCTGGGTCTGAAGCTGCTGTATCTAAAAGTGCCATCTCATTGTGCTTTGTATCAGTCAGTGCTGGAGAATCTTGAATAGCTTATGTACACAACTTTTTAAATTTTATATTATTTTGAAACTGCATCTTTGGGGTGGGGTACCTGTCACCTGGTCTGGCTGTGAGAGTCCTGCAGTCTGGGCTGGCAGTGTGCTAATATTTCAAAGTTTCTTTCCCAGCCCAATCCCCACTTTTTTAGGTGAGGTTTCATGAGCTCTGTTAGGTGTACGTTCTGCAGCTTATTGGCTTAAAATGTATTCTCCTTTGTTGTGGTCTCTTTGGGGCCAGTTGGGAGAAAGATAAACAATAGTGCAACTGTTTTGATACTGAATATTGACAAGTGTCTTTTTGAAATAAAGAACCAGTCCCTCCAAAAAAAAAAAAAAAAGAAGAAGAAGAAGAGGAGAGATATAGGACGCTGCTGTAGGTTTAACATGGCATGCTGGTTTATAGTAAATTTTTATTTCCACATTTTTTATTGGTGCATTATAGTTGTACATATTGATGGGATTTATTGTTACATATTTGTACAGGCACATAATATAACAGTATAATTTGTCCAATATCACTCTCCCATCCTTCCCCACCTCTTCCTCCCATCTCTTGGTCTCCTTCTTCCATTGATCTCTCTTTGAGTTTTAAGAGCTCTAACCCCACCTTTGTTTTACTTTTTATTCTCTAGCTTCCTCATACAAGAGAACACATAGTACTCTTAACCTTCTGAGTTTCAGTTATTTCACTTAACATGATAGTAACTTTTATAAGTCAAAATATATACAAAAATAATGATTAAAAAGTATAGTATAGTAAAGATACAACCAGTAATTTCTTATCAACTATATTCTGTATGCAATTATATGTATTATATTTTTTTGGAACTGAGGATTGAACCCAGGGCCTCACACATGATATTCCAGCACTCTATTATTAAACTTCATACCCAGACTTTTTATTTTGAGGCAGGGTCTTACTAAGTTGCTCAACTGGCCTCAGTTTCGTGATTCTCCTGCCTCAGCTGCCAAAATAGCTGATATCCTGTATTTTTCTATGACTGTCAGTGCAGTAGTTTTATTTACACCACCATCACCACAAACACATGGGTAATGCATTGCTCTCATGACATTAGGATTACAGAGAAACCAGGCAATAGGAATTTCTCAGCTTTATTGTAATCTCATGGGACCACCATAGTATATGCATTCATCATTGACCAAAATGTTATATGGTCCTATACTATATTCATGTAACCCTGTCTGATATTAACACCACAGAACATTTTAGTAGAATATACCCATCCTCACTCATAATGGAAGTATGAGTGAAGTACTAATTTCATTAAGAGAACAAAGAGTAAAGAAATAATTCTCAGACAAATTTTGTTAATTTTTATGGACAAGCAAATTTTTGCTAGCTATGGCAAACTCCAGGCAGGAGTACAGCAGAGTAGAATGATTTAAAAGAACATGGTGTCTTCCAAGAGCCGGGGCAAGTTGTTTTGTTTCAGATAGCATATTTTTTTCACAAAATGTCTTCCTTAACAACTATGAAATCAATTAATATTATTTGAAAAGTTTTAATAACTATTGTATCATTCTCTTTAATTGTTTATTAGTCCTTGAATATTTCCACAATCAGTGCTTGACAAGCAACTTACAATAACTTGTAGCATGGGCAAATTATACTCTTTTTTCCCAACCAGATTAAGGAAGAGTCTAAAAACTGATAAGTAATATCCAGTACTTTGGGAGATAATTTTCTATTGCTAATAGTAATGTAAATTAGTGGAGCCTTTATGGAAAGATAATAGATCTGTTAAACAGTAACTTTAACATTATTCATGTCATTTACATAGTAATTCCATTTCTGGGAGCCTGTTGTAAAGAAATACAACTACATGTTTGTCATAGATGTTTGTTGGCAAAAATTAGAAACTTGAATATCAATTATATGGAAATGCTTGAACAAATTATTCCTAACACTAAATAAGATATTATGCAGCCTTTTAAAAGCTCTATTTATGCAGAGTATAATAGCATGTTAAAAAGTAGGCTGAAAATTTGTCTCTACAGTATGATCATAACCACAGAGTAGTGTAGATGGAGGGAATCTATGCAAATGAGGAAAAAAGATTACAAGAAGTATGCTCCATAATATCATTGGTTATATTTGCTGACAAAATATGAGTAAGAGGATTTTACTTTTTCTCTTATTCTTCTGGATTTTCTATAGTTACATTGATAATTCTATTTTATTTCAAAGAAAAAGTAAATGAAAAATCTAGTTGCTAAATAGATGGTTGGAAGACATACAAAAGAGGAAGAGAAGTCATGCTGCCAATGTGATCATAACCTCTGCTGCCACCAAGTTGTTCCTGGTTTTCTTCTTCAGATTCATGAGTGGACAATTTGGGGAACTAATAACCTTTATTGCACAAAGGAAAAAATCTACCCTGAGAGGCTTTAATTACTTATTATACAAAGAAAAATAAACATCTTTTTAAATAGTGTGCATTAATTTTATTTACTTTTCTTTGTCTTTCATAATTTAGGATTACTGATTTTCTTCTCCATTCCTCACTGTGCAAAAACCTATAAATCACTTTTATAACAAAGGTAAAGAACATAATATAATCTATGTCTACATAAAATATCATCTCAACCAACATTAAATATGATTTGGAAACAATGTATTACTTGGAAAATCATTATAAAGAATACTAAAATCATTATTTGAAGAGGTGTTTTTAAAAATATCTGCTAGATTGTATTAAACCTAAATAAGATAATCTGGTACTTAAAAGTTTATTTCAAAGAAGGGAATGCACATTTAATGCTTTTTCTCAAGTATTTCCTTAGCATTCTATGGTGAATTTCTTTTTGAGAAGGCACCTACCTACCTACTTTGTTTTTATGATTACTGTTTCATTAGACTTAATTTTAAGTTCCTTTTTAAACATCCTTGTTTGTGTAACATTGTTTATATAATAACACTTGACATGCACAGGTTTGAAATATATTCTTTTTTCTTACAGATCTCCAAACAAGAACAGAAAAAAATGGATACATTTGATGGAGGCATGGCTGAAACCTCATCTCGGTACAGTGGTGCTCAGGACAGTGGAATTGGCAGTGACAGTGTTAAAATCAGAATAGTGCAAATAGAGCAGCACAGTGGTGCTAGTCAGCACCGCATTGCCCGTCCCTCACGCCAGTCATCAATTGTAAAAAATCTAAATTTTATTCCTTTTGATGTATTTATTACAGCAAGTAGAATCTCACTAATGACCTATTCCTGTACAGCCTTGCCCAAATCAAAATCACAAGAACAGAAGGAAGATGAAAAAACAGGCAAGAGTTCATTAAATCTTTCAGAAGTTGATTCAGATGTTGCTAAGCCCAACCAGGCATGTATTTCCATGGTGACAGCAGAAGATCTCTTAAGCAGTAGCACTTCTTTAACTTCAGGAAAAAAAATAGGGGTTCTCTCTCTTGAAAGTCTTCATGCATCCACGAGATCATCTGCAAGACAAGCACTTGGCATAACTATTGTCCGGCAGCCTGGTCGAAGAGGAACTGGTGACTTACAACTAGAACCATTTTTGTACTTTATTGTGTCCCAGCCTTCCTTGCTTCTGAGTTGTCACCACAGAAAGCAGCGAGTGGAAATATCCATTTTTGATGCTGTGCTTAAAGGGGTAGCCTCTGATTACAAATGTACAGGTAAGAGCCTTCAAATTACTAGAGATTATAATTACTACTATATTAAAAATTTTATTCCTGTAGTTTCAAGACTGATCAAACAGAAAACAGCTGGCAGAGCAGACAGCCTTCTTTTCTCGACAGAATATATAAAGTGCATGTCCCACAGCTGAATCGTATTTAAATTTGAAATTTACCAAGGCTTAGCCTTAACATTCTTGCTGTGCCTATGAATGTTCACTTTTTCTTAGGAGGTGAATGAAAAGGAGAGTCGTTCTTGGCTATAGAGATGCTCAACAATTTTTCCAGTGTGGGAGAGGCTTATCTTTTTTTTGTATTAATGGCCCAAAGGTATACTGTCCATGTTAATGCAGCTGTATAGATGAAGAAGGAAAATACTTTAACACACGAAGGCTGTCATTTGGATGTTCTTTTTGATCTTATCATCTCACTACACCATCACAAAATTAAATATTATGGAGAAAGTTTATTAATAAAGTAAGATGATTTGTTTATACATTTACAACAAAAATATTTGTTAATGCTGTTCCCTGTGATTCCATTCAGACTTATTTTATAACCAGAGGGCATCCTGTATCATGACTATGGAACTTCTGAAGTTCGTTGAAACTAGGAAAGTGAGCAAATATTCAGATTTAAGATATATGAACTCTGAGGTAACTAGGTTTGTTGGAAATGAGCTTGAGTGAGGCAGAATGAGAGGGCTTTTTCCTGAGTTAATGTAGAATTGGAAATTTGGAGGCAAAGTCTAGAAGGTAGCTAGGTCACCCAAGACCTAGTATTTGAAGAGAACCCTAGAAAGCACAGGTGTAGTTCAGGCATTGTGTTGCTGTAGGTGGTCTTAGTCTCATGTAGCAGATGGATACTAGCAGTGAGGCATTTGGAGAATTAATCTGATCTGAAGGCAGGCTGATTTGCTCTGGGCATTTAGAATGTCCATTTTATACAGCAGGACCCTGGAGAGTAGACAGCAGGTGTAGGGATCAAGACAGCCCAAGGAAGTAGGGTTGAAAGAACCCTAGTTTCTTGCCAATGCTTAATTAAAGTCCCCTGCTTTACCAAAGGGGTAACTGGCCAGTTGCTAAGGAAAAAGTGACCTAGAGTTACTCCTTAGGCTGCTTAATAGACCTCTCTCCAGTGATATGCTAGGCTAGGGCTGGCTGCTCATACTGGCTTAAAAGACCTGATTGTTGAAAAAAAGTTTCAGGAACTTTGGAAGGCAATTAATTGTTAAGTCATTAGTAGCTTAAATCAGCCATGATAGGAGTATTTACACTATCAATATAAACAATTAATCTGCTCTCATATGCCAATACATTTGTTAAATATTTGTCAGCATTACTGCTTCACTTCTTCAAATACACTTGTCATTTCCTTGGTGCCTACAATACAATAAATAGGTATTTCAGAAGTAGTGGAGATGAGGATGATCCTGGAGTGGTATAACATGTTATATGGCTCAAGGACTCATGCCTACATATCTAGTACCTGTTTGAAGGTCTGCTTGACATTGGTGAAAACTGGGTCCAGGATTATGAACATAAATCTTCATTTCTAGCTCTTCATTAAATTCATTTAGTTGCAGTCAATTTGTAGGCAGGTGGCTTCTGTGGTCCTGGAAGAGATAAGTAGAATAGGGGAAAGGACTGATATGAACAGCTATGACTCTTCCAGACTAGTATTTGTAGGGATACACAGATCCCGGAAGACTTGTTTTGTTTACTTCAAGCCCAACCGTAATATACTTTGTGTATATCCTCTGCCTTTGAAAATAATCACTGAGCTGAGGCAAGCAAAGGTCCACTATAACAGAAGAAAGCTACCATTGATATATTTGTTTCCATTTTCCTGAATTGTGGAGTTGGTCTGCTTTAATCCATTTTATTAACATACTCCTAAATCATAAGTTTATATATTCTATCTAAATCTGTATACAGCAAATTTATGAGGTCTCATTCCAAAGATAATCATTTGAATTATATCTTCATAAGTTAAAAATAATAAAGTATTTTGCTAGGGAGTGGAGGACTCTGTGTGTAAGTGAACATAGAACCCAATTTCAGCAGATGAAGCTAGAATGAAAATCATGAGCTAGGGTTAGTATGGAATATATGTGTGGGAGGAAAAAGTCTTTCTTGCCTTAAAGGGGCTTCCACTACATGATATCCTTGTGGATATTCCTTATATAAAAGTCATCTACCTTGACACTTACATGATCTAAATGCAGTAATTCTGAACTCACTCATAACAAAGAGTTATCAATGCACATAATCATGTTTCTTAAAATTGAACTTAATGATCTGGCAAAATTGATCAGAAAGCTAAAAAAGTAAAAATACAGTGGTTATAAAAAGATGTAACTAGCATTTATTTAGTACTGACTCTGCCAGGCACTGTACTAAGTGCTTTATATGCATTATTTTGTTTCATTCTAAAAACAACTCTTTGAGGAAAGTAATATTTCATATTGCATATGAGGAAACTAACTAAAAGGGGAATTAAGTTATTGCCCAAGGCCACAGACCTAGCAATAAACAGAGATATAATTCAAACCCAGGATTTGTTGAACTTCTGAGCCTGGACTCTCAAACTCTAGAATCTCTGAAGTGAAGAACAAGATATGAATCCATGGATTTCTCAGACTCCATTGGCCTACTCCAGACCATGCAAATGCTTCCCTAAGTTGTAACTGGAAAATTTGTACAAAGTTAAATGCAAACATAATGTGACTACATGGTCCCACCTGTCTTACTAGTGTCACACAACTGGGTTCAAATTCTAACTCTGTCATAAGATGTTTACCTATCTCATAGAGCAGTTGTGAAAATGAAGGATTTTTTTTAATAACTCTAAAGTACTTAGAATTGAGTACTTTAGTAGTGTGTAGAAGGCCCTCACAAATGTTTGCTATTTCTGATTTAGTTGTTCTTATTACGTAGTATAAAGATTACTACTAAACTAGAAAGTAGAAAAACCAAGATTTTATTATTAGTCCTACCTTTAATTGGCACAGTGATCTTATCCCGGTAGTTGACTTCTTTGGGTTTCTGTTTACTTATCTGTAAAATGTGATGATTATAAAAGTTCTAAAGTTCTATCATGCTGTAATTTGGAATTTCTCTCTCCACCATTACCTTTCCAAAAATATTTTAACTATACTGCTTTAACCTCAGGGAGTTGAATAAGTCACTACCATATCTGGTTAAATTTTTTTTACTTGTTTTAAAGATAAAATCTTTCCTTGAAACTTTCAGGAGAATACTGATTGGTTTCTTCACAGTTATAAATGCATAAATGTTATTAAATGTCAATGAAATGATTTTTCAAAAACCAATCTGGGAAATTTCTGATCTATTGGTCCACATGCATGAACCCATTAAAGTCCCATTATCAATTTGATTATCCAAAAAGACTTTGTGCGCTCCATGTGGTGGTATGTACCTATAATCCCAGCAACTTGGGAGGCTGAGGCAGGAGGATCACAGGTTCAAAGCCAGCCTCAGCATCTCAGTGAGGCTCTAGGCAACTCAGCAAGACCCTGTCTCTCTATATAAAAAAGGGCTGGGATGTGGCTCAGTGATTAAGCACTCCTAGGTTTAATCCCCAGTACCAAAAAAGAAAAGGACTTTGTGTGGCACTTTTCCCTCATCCATAAAAGCCCCATTCCATATCCAGTAATCTTTGGAAGTCCTGAGATAACTAAATTGGTTAAAAGAAAGAGAGAAATATGTGTGGCTATAATGTTAAGGGTCTTGGTGGGGAGGGGAGGGGAGGGAAGAGTGAGGCAGAAGTGCCTAGCTCTGTTTCTGATTCTGATGTCCAGCAGTTCTCAGTGTCTTTTAATTGGAGGGCAAAAGAGTGCCATTGTGAAGCTCACCTTTTAAGAATAGTCAAGAAGTTGTTTAAGGTACCATGAGTTAAAGATGGAAGAAGAAACATGTTATGTCTTTCTACAGTGTTCTACTTTCACTCTGAATATTAATCTTTTTCTAAAAGGTAATGAGTAACAGCCAGGCAATAGCAATTTTGTATATGTATGTGTGTGTATGTATATATATATATTCTCTCTCACACACACATATGCATCTCAATAATTGATTCTTTTCAATAATTTGGACACACATGATGTCATTGTGAAAATGCTGTTTAGGTTCTTTGTTTCTGTTTTTTAAATTTGTTTTATGAGCTCAAAACTATTTGATTGCAAAGTAATTTTAGAAAATGTGGCTTGTAATTGTTGATTTCTCTGACAGAAAATAAAAATGAAAAACATTGGAAATTGATTTCTGAAAGTTCAAAGTTTTATTAGAACAGAAATATATACTTGAAAACTATAGTTCTTATGTAAATACAAATGAACATATGTCAAAGATTTTTTTAACTCATTAATAACTCATTAATTTTATTCATTTATTTGCAAGAATGTTACAAAGGAATTTATGCACAGAAGACCTGATCATCTCAGAGATTTTTATTCTAGAATTCATTAGGTCCTAAAAATGATAAGAGTTACTTGATCATTGACATTCCCTCCTGCTAAAGTATGGCTCTGGGTGATTCTAGTAAGATGGAATTATTTTGGCATTAAATTACGAAGGCTTAATTTTGTTTGACATTTAGGAGACAGTAATAAAAACTCTGAAAGCAAATACTAAAAATCTTTTAAGCATTGTTAGAATATGGTATAATATCTCAAGATGACCCCAAGAAATTAAGTTAGTTTTTGAAATCACATTTTTTCCTCCTGTCTTATGTAATCAACTTAACTCATTACCTTATAATGAACCTCTTAGCCCTTGCTTTCAGGTCTACATTCAGGTAATCTTTGGGAATCATCTTTTATGCATTCAGTTAGCACACCTGCCTTTTATCAAACGTGCAAGATACTGAGAAACCAGTAATAAATAAAACCTTCTGCCTTTAGATACCTCACGTCATTTAATAATTATAATTGATAGAAGTTTAGCAGAATATAGATCTTCATAAAATGGAGTGCTGTG